TACTTGGCAAAGTGCCGTATTTGTTCTATGATTTTTCTAAACAACATTATAAAACGTATATTTTTATATACTACAAAAAAATCTCAAATCCTAGCCGTTCCACCCAAACTAAATCAAGACTAGTGATACACTCGATATCGATTTGTGAGAAGAAGAAAAAAAATTAGGGTTTTTTGTTCATCATTTGAGAGAAAAGTTTATGCTAATCCGTTTAGAGAGGTTTTCGAAGGTGGGAGACGATTTCAAAGCAATAGTTAGACAAATAGTTTACTATAAAGAACTACCATTTACAAACTATGCGTGCCAACAAGTTCAAGAAATGTCAAACAAAAAAGACACAAAAAAGAAACAAAAGAGCAAACAAGGATCGATCAAGCCTGATCAGTCGATTTCTTGTATGTTTTAGACCGTGTTTATGATCAACAACATAAGTAAAGACAAAGAAGGCTTCTTCATTGGGTTAGAAGTTTGGGACACTTTTATGTAGTCTGTTTAGAGAGCTTATCTTTTACTATACTGTATGTCTATATTTTTTGGTCGGCATATATTATAACGTGAATTTTGCAAAGTAGTAGAAACAGTTTTACAGGAAATATCTAATATGGTGCATTTGAAATTGTTTAGTAGCATGTAATAAAATTGCCTATGCATCATAAACGTAATGCAAATAAAACCGTTTACGTTGTTGGGATATCAATCCAAGTCCCACATCGGAAGTTTAGACAAAAATAGTCTAATATATAAGTTATGTCAAACTCCAATTAGTATGATGTCTTTTGGGAAGGAGTCCAAGAATAAATCCGTGCGGGCTTTGTCTTTGGGCCCAAAGCGGACAATATCATACTAATAAAGGAGTTGGACATGGGCTAGAAAAGCCCTACAATGGTATCAGAGCCAAGGTTCAGAGAAGTGGACAAGTCCACGAGTTTATGTGGTACTTGGTTTGAAGGGGGGATTGTTGGGATATCAATCCAAGTCTCACATCGGAAGTTTAGAGAAGAATGGTCTAATATATAAGTAATGTCCAACTCCAATTAGTATGAGGCATTTTGGGAAGGAGTCCAAGAATAAATCCGTGCGGACTTTGCCTCTGGGTCCAAAGCGGACAATATCATACTAGTAAAGGAGTTGGACATGGGTTAGAAAAGCCCCACATACGTGAATTTATATAGTACGGGTAAGATTATCCGTTGTATAGTCGTTTGTGAAATTATGCGTTGTGTGTTTTCATTTGCCACAAAGAATTAGATTCACTTTTAGTATTATAAACGATAACATCTTCATTGGTAACATGACAACATACTGAAAATTTTTTATGCTAAACAAAGAGGTTACAAGTTTGAACGGAATGTGTTTTAGTTGCATAACAGGACGGGAGATTAACGCAGTTACTTTTTTACCAAATGGTGAATTTAACTTCTTCAATGTAGATAACATCTGAGCTAACAATAATAATGAAACTGTTGTTTGCCACAGTTTTAAAAATAATGGAAATTCTATAATTACGTTTTTAAAAAAATTTGAAACTTGAACAACAGAGAAATTAAGAGAAACAACGAAAGATATATTATTCCATATATAACGATCAAACAAAGGAAACAGAGAACAACACGAGTTTTATTATCTTACATGAGGACTATGTCTC